TCTCAGTCCTCTCATTTATGGCCTAAGGGATGAAAAGTTTTTTCTTGAACTGAAAAGCAATTTATTTTTTGGCTTGTATAAAAGAAATTACTGAGAATGTCCTCAATTCAATGTTCTATGTCTGAAAATAAAATATTTTTACACTATTGTATGGCGCATGACTTTGATTACATTACGATGACGAATACGCTGTTAACAATCTATTAATCTAACAACTTAAACTATATCCAGCTGTCGTGCTCATTCACACAAACAGCTGCCCTTTACATTGGTTTCATGTTGTGCATAAATGTAATAACTTGTATTCCTGCTCCAAGATGTCTGAATCCTCTTGTTTATGTTCTCACTCATAAAAATGAGTATGGTCACAAGGAAAGCTTTTATAAAAAAAAATACATCTTCTAACTCTAAAAATCTTTTCTTCCTCTCTTTTGGTTGTTGCCAAATGTATTTGAAGTTTTCTATTTATTAATTAATTATAGAAAAATAGTGTGCGTACTTTTAAACATTTAAATTTTAGTCACATAAAAACACAATTCTGGTTTTAAAAAATTTATGTAATTTGTCAAAATGTCAAAGGTTCCTACAAATGCGTTGATAAGAGGAGAGCAGGTTTTGGGCCTTCATTTGTTGTTTGGCTGTGGTATAAAATTCTGATTCCGAAATGTATAGAAACTCGTGTTTGCATTTTTTTCTGTTCAGTATGACCTTAGTAATGTAAATATTTTCAGAAATATTGCACTTTTTTGTAGAACTTGAATGTTGAAATGGCCCTCCAATGAGATGACGATACCAGTGGCCACAAGCCAATTTGAGTTTGAGATCCCTGTTCTTATTTTCGTAAATGGAAAACCCCATATAACTATTGCAAACCTACTATTTCTTTGTTGAAAGCACGGTATTGTAGTCCTGGGCAATATACCGGATGAACTAGTACACTGGTTTAAATTCTTGTATTATATAAATTTTTCATATACTGTCATACTGGTGCACAGCTGAAACGACTGCTGTAACTCTTCAATAGGTATGAGCACTACCGCCAGCATGTAGCATGTATTGAGGGGGGAGCCATATTAACTGTGTACCCTTCTTTTTTTGTTTTTAAGGAAGCAATGTTAAAGTTAGGCATATCGTTAATTTTATGGGGCCAAG